CCACCTTTACTCTTTTCTTTACAATAAGGCTTTCAAATAAGTCATGGTTGTACGGCAGTGAAGCATTGGTGTTGAACACTGATGTCATGCTGTCGATGATGATAACCTGGATTGAGATGTTTGGCTGGTCCAACGGAGTTCAAATGCACGGTGACTGTAGTGACAGGCAATAATTCAATTGAAAACACCAATTGCAGAAGAGAATACTCATTAGTGAGAAGAAATTTAGTCCAGACGTTCTAAGTAGGTCACTCGTATGAGGAAAACACTTCAAGTAGCTGGAGTCATCGGAGCGGCTCTGGAGGTTTGTTTGAGTTTTGCGATACTGGGCGGAAGCTGGACCACAGATTCATCCTTCACCACACTAAGTGATAACGTCCTTCCGGGTGGTAGATCCACGGAGGAGTTGATTCTTCGGCCTAACAATGCGCCTACACCTAAACACATTTCTGCAATCGTTTTGCTCATCTAACCGACGGGCAATTATAAAAAAACGATTCACGTCCTAAACCCACCACTATGATGTTGGTAACAAAACTAGGCGGGTAGGCTTGCCATGTCTAGTCTATTAGATGGACACAAGGGTGATGCGGTCTTTCTAAATTGGCCAAATCGGTTGAAGGAGCCATCGGAAAGTCTGTTTGGAAGGTGACGCGATCAAAATCGTTCGTTCTTAGTTCTTGACGGGACCACAATACATAGGTTCGGAAACTGCTTTCAAAGATGTGCTTTAGTTCCCCATTCCACGTGACTACCCACCGGACCCCTTGGTGTTTACCTATGTGGAAAAGAATGGCATCTTGCCGATTCGTATGTACAGTGCCTTTGGTCTTTTTGTGTATTCGGGTCGCATAGCCTTCCCGAGTAGGTTATTCATTTGTTGCTTGGACTAACTTATTGATCGTTACTCGCATTCCTTCTCCGCCAGTTATTCAAGCAACCATTTTTGACTCGTGAGGTCAACGTCGATAGCCTCGTGTACCTATTGGCTGGGCTATTCCAATTGGCTGAAAGTTCTCAGTTGGAGCACGATAAACCTGGATACTGCAATCCACGCCGAGCGGTGCTTCTTCGCCTGGTCTACTTTATCCTCAAAGTGGTTGACCCAACCACGGCGTGCAGGTGAATTGAAGTAGTTATCGATTTCTTGTTTGATCAGCCAAAAAGTATTCATCCAAACACAATTCAACGTCCTGTTTCAGCCTCGTCAAACACCCGACAAAAGGTTATCAGTTTTGAGGACGTCAGCGCAAAAACAAACAATAACGGGGTCAATCAAGGTCAACGAAGCAATTATCTATGCTTTGAACTACTCTCTGGTTGCAATAGGTTTCTTTTTTGAATACACGGAAACCCTTTCAAGGCGTTTCGTTGATGACCCTGTGATGAAATCTCTCACTCCGTAGAGATTTTCTAGATAGTTCGTTATGCAGACTTATGTCTCGTCTAACAACATACGTGCCCCACGCTGAAGGCCACATTGACTTCACTCCACTGATGATGTTCCTCCGAGGTTGTACGTGCGCTTTCCAATAGCTCCAGGTGGCTCAGTGATTAAGGTGTGAACTTACTGACCTGAAGCTCCGCGATTCGAACCTACCGCCGGCATCCCGACTGCTCTTATCTAGTCTTGAGCAGCGCACGAGTGCCGCAGCTCTCGCGCTTACTTAGGCTAGCACGGGAGCGACTTAGTCTTCCAAATTCTTCTGGTCCTGCTAATGAAAATGACTAAACTAATGCATTGAGTTGTAATGCGCTCGAAATGAGAGGGGGGCCACAGAGCTTTCCTGTTTGTTTGGATGTCTCGGATCGAATCGAATCGAATCGTTCAGCTGTAACACCCTTTCGGTGCCTAACTGCCCTGCTACCCGAAGGTTGCACGAGGGCTTAGATACTGCCAGGGTGCCTAAGCCTAGACAGGGGAAGTCGAGAGGCAGAGGTCGGGTTCGAACCACGGACCTTCCGATCAGTAAATTCGCGCTCTACCCACTGAGACATCTCGCCCCGGGTGTCTAATATACCCCTCCACTTTTGTGTATGTGAGCATGCAGACACTTCGTGGCCGTTTTGTGTGACGATTGACAGTCCTTGTTAGCAAGCAGATTCTTTTATCTGATAGGCACCGAACAGACCCTATAGAACGACGAAAGCAATGTTGGGTGAGCATCCAGAGCTAAATTCTCGGTCAAATCAAGTCCACTCTTGGAGAGCCTGCCCTGTAGATGGATTTGTTTGTTTGTCGCGTTTTTGGGCTGTGCTATAGCTTTTTGGAATTCCGGTCCGCTTATAAAGGTAGAATGTGGTTGGTCCTGTGAACACGTTGCACTGCATGCTCCGTTCTTATTGGAATCGGTCGCGTTGGTGGTTCACCGGGGCGCCACACGGTCACTAGCCGCACCTACACTGGTATAAGAGATCTGCATCGTTTCATCTTTGAGCGGAGATGATAAGTAAGCTATCTGGAGAATCAACAGTGTATCCTATTCGGTTCTGTGACGTCCATTCCACGAACGTGACAGCACTGGAAGAATGAGCTACTCCTCCAGCTGTATCTTCGATCGACCTATTTCCTCGTGGAGTGTTCCCCCCAAAAGGGAGACAACTTGCTGATCTAATTTCCGTTGAAACGATTAGCGAAGGCGCTGTACAATTCCGATATTGATGATTGAAAGACTTTCGGTGTTTGCACATCGGTGTCTTCACGGCATTGCTCTGGTCCAGGGTTAACATTGGATCAGTAGTGCTGAAGTGCGTCGAATCGTTTTCGGAAGAAGTAACTCGCCCATGATAGATGAACTGACCACACTCCATAGGTTGCACTGACATGGCCACGTGTTGTGTATGCCAGTTGACCAACTTCTTCGAAAGGTTCTTTTTGCACAATCACGTGAAGCGTTGAAACGAGTCAGGAGAGGTCAAGCAGCAAATTATGAAAGCCAGCAAGCTCATTTGCGCTGGTCATTGCTTTCTCCCTGTATCACGTCTCGGGGCTTGGATGGCGCAAGAATCAATGACGGTTTTATTAGCCGATATTGAGCGCCCTTTATGGACTGGGGGTTGTCGTTACACTCGGGCTATATTAGGAATATCAGCCGTCGGTCAGAAAGATGATAAAAGAAGGAAAGGGTTTTCGTGACACCATTCGTTTTCAATATGACTTCAGTACGCAGTTAACATTACTAGCCCCATTGTATACACTCTGATCGTCAGACACACATAGCTTATCGATCCACTGCTACTAACTCGTCCGTTGCGTCGATATTTTTACTTTTCTTGGCTGAGCGGTTCTCACTCATAGCAGTGTTGATTTTGTCAGCTGTCTGCTTCAAACCAGACTCAGCCGGACTGATCCGTCCCTTATTTTGTCAGGTTACTCCTACAGATGCATCAAATGACTTGCTTTCCTATCCTTCCCCAATACACCACTTTCCACAGCGCGCTACTCCGTCTACTTTCAATGTGCTGTTTTCAATCCGACTGCTGTCGGGTTGCGTCGTCCACAGCACCATCTCGGCGCACGTCCACTCGTCGCTCATCGACGGCCGGGCAATCTGATGTGGAACTGCTGATAAAAGATCTTTCCTCATGGCCCCGGATTTGGCGGCTCGTGGTAGCCCAACTTTGGCAAAGGATCGACAGTCTTGACGAAGATGGTACGTTCTGTTCAGTTGCTGTGAACAACCAATTACAGGTGGTCGGTTGATTTCGCAATTTTGACTCAACTGAATCCAGATGAATCTCTCGTTTGTAATCGTTTTGACGAAATTTCGGGGACTGCTTTGACCTCGTGATCCCCAAGCAGGGCGAAACCGGTCGTGGGCTGTCCAAGAGTTTTCAGTTTTCGAGTAGGGTATTGCGTCTATACAATGCATTGCGAATTGCCGAATATCATACCGACTGAAACACGAGGTGGTTCCACACACAGAGAATCAGCTGGGATGTAGTTGAGTTTCCAGCGAAAACCAAACTGGTAAGCAGCTGAGTGTATCGATCGAATTCGGTGTATTTTTGCCTAGTTGCCTTCGAACGTTTCGTGGGATTAGGGGGGGGGGGG